GACCGGTCTAACAAAAACACTTGGAAAATGAAATCAGGCGTTAAGGTTTTGAAGGTCTTAAGTAGGAAAAACATTTATATCAAGTGGGAGCTTCCAAAGGATAAGAGGACTTTGCAAGACAAACAATTGTGCGTGTATAATAGCTATGACGCCCCCACACCCCGCGCGGAAGTACTAAAATTTGAACCTTCATATGAAGCTGAACTTTCTCTCAATTTTCACATAATGCAAAAGTTGTCAGATTCAATGGGTATGACCTTTCCTGTAAAAGGAGGGTTAACCTCACATAAAACTGTTTCATGTTAGTATAGAAGAAATGAAATTTGTTACTCTCCCATGTGGGCTTCGAAAATTCGACCCCGGCCTCCCCGCCGCGCACTGATTGGATAATTTTTCTTTTTCAGCGAGGGGAGTTTTAACGGAATTAAGTTCCGAGGTAAATTTTGGAAGACAGATGGGTTTTTAGATAAGACACTACCCAGAGATTTCGCCCTCATTTTGTGAGGACTTTATGATCTGAGTTCTGGTTTCCTATAGGCGCAAGCCCCTATATTTAATTACCCTTCCCGATAACGAGAGAGAACTTTCGATTAAGGCTAGTCGTCAATCAGATACATAGAGATACGTGTTATCTGGAATATAGTAGCAGCAACGGATATTTGAAATGATTGGAGAATTTGGGAATTTGAAAATTCAGATGTTTAAAATGGAAATTGCATCATCTTGCACTTAAAGTGGATGGTGGGAGAATGGATGATTGACCCAATCAAGATCCCATGGTTCCGTCGTCCCGGGCCATCGTGGTCCCTGGTCTACTTAGTCAGAGGAGGTAGTCAACCCAACCTGACAGAAGGATCCTTGTCGGCAACTATGGGTTGTTTCGTCCAAGGGTACCTTGTAGACCTGGGGTGCATGTTTGTCTAAGGGGACAAATTTTAATCCACCTTAGCTGACATAGGGCTTTGTTCCCTATCGATCATATCCTATTGATTCATATCTCAAGGATTTGAAGCCAATAAGGAACGTATTGGCTCTGGCCATAACCGGTATTTCGTGGTGCCATTTGACAGCAAAACCACTCAGTTCAAAGGGCCCCGAGTCATAACCGTTTATCCTGCGGTGCCACTTAGTGGCAAAACTGCCGGTTAGAGGACACGTACCACGTCCTTACTAGCAGGAGATTATTTGAGAATAGATCCTAATGATATTTTCGACTAGGCATTTGGCTCTTTGTGAGCTGAAGTAGTTTTTAATTTGTCCACCCCAGCAAATTGTTGCGGAGGGTGGATGAATTTTGCTTTAAGTTGTTGATGAATTTATTTCAGTTTTAAATATCTTTGGATTTCTGAATTATGGATGATCTTTAGAATTTTTGGATTTTGAGTGGACTTTTGGGAGGCATTTGCAGATGCCTGAAATTGACCCCTCCGGTTGAGATCTACATTCAACACAGTCATCATCGGGGTGTTTGGGGGTACTTTCCATTTGATTGAACCTTGTCGACCCTATCAACTTACCGATAGGGGATCGGGTTTCATAGGCTTTATGCCTTTGTTTATGAATTTTCTTGATTATAGGCCTTGAAGGCCTAATATGAATGTATTTAAACAAATATACCGGTCACTATAACCGTGTATTTTGTTTGAAGTTCGAACCTTGTCGACTCCTATCGATCCGTATAGAAGGATCGGGTTCTATAGGCTTTGTGCCTTTATTAGTGAATTTTCTTTGTTAAAGGCCTTGAAGGCCTAATATGAATGTATTTAAGAAAATACACCAGTCACTACAACCGTGTATTTTGTTTGAAGGTTCGAACTCTATCGACTTCTATTGATCCATATAGAAGGATCGGGTTTGAACTTGAATTCACTTATTGACCTGCACAGCATCCCTAGGCGTCATATGTATACCAATAACACGCTCGTTGGGGTCCATGCGGGTGATTTCTATATACCCCTTTAGTGTACCTATGTGTATACAATTTATGGTGCACGTGCAGGGGTATTTTGAAAGTATTTGTAGACGTCTTCTATCTGCTTGTATAAGTGTTGCAGATCCGGTGGCGTTGAGGCCTTGATATTGACTCCCCCTTTTTCATTCGCTGGGGGAAGGCTTCTTCTGGACTTTGAAGTCAGTTGTTGCTGATTTGGAAAGAACTCCTTTTAGGATCTTCGATGTAGTTGACTTGTTATTTTCGATGTTTGTAGATATCAAAACTGTTTTCTTCCTGAGTATAGGATCAAGAAGAAATTTTGGAACACTAGGAAGTTTAGTTCTAATTTGTTCAAACATCCCTTTCATTCTGCCAAGAGATGTCCTCTTTCGTACATCGAAACGCCCTTGTACCCGACGTACTTGGATATCTTAACCACCATTATCGTAGGTGATGTCTGTACTTGTGCCCACAGTGGTTCATTGTACTTACAATACACTGTTGTTATCCACAAGTATTCATTTGCAGGGATCCATACTTGTGTCTACAGTGATTCATTATACTTGCAACACATTGTTGTTATCTACAAGTGTTCGTTTGCAGGGAATCGTAGTATCCACTACGACCTCCTAAAAATATTCGTAGGAGAATCATTGTCCTTGCATCACATCCACCTTTCATCAATCTCAGGTGGGTTTGATTGTACTTGTTTGTAGGGGACGAATCTTCCACTATCAAATGCCAGTTTTGTCATCTCAATCTGCAGGCATTTGTAGGAATTGTCGTAGGAGTTCGTTGCATGCATATTTCGTGTGCATCGAGATTTCATCTCCTACTTGCAACTTGTTGTTAGCTTGGACGACTGTGCATTTAGACCTTGATTTGTTCATTCATCCAAAGCCCAGTTCTATGTATTCCATCGAACCCAAGTTCTAGGTTCAACTCATGCTTGAATCTTGTGTGTTGCTCTTGAAAGTTCAAGTTCTTTATTGCTCATGTCAAATTTGGATCCAACTTGAGTTCAATTTGAGTTCCTTGCTCTCCACACCTTGTTCCAGTTTTGAGTTCGTAGTCTTCTAAAGTCTTTGCAAGTTCAATTTCACCTTATATGAATTTAATTTCTGTTTGATCTTATTGCATTTGATTTTGACCCTTAGAAATTATTTAAATTTTGTTCAGGTTTAGGTCCACAAGTCAACAGTTCATTTGAGTCCAAGTTTTATGCTTTCAGTTCAAGTACAAGTCCCCTATTGTTTATACAAGTCCTCTGCATGTTCAAAGTTTTGTGTATTTCTGTTCAAGTATAGGTCCTCCGCAGTCCTTCATATTGCTGCTCAAATGATGTCTTTATATTGTTCAGGCTTTGTGTACTTCAGTAAAAATTTTGGCAGCACCCCGACATATCCCCCATTTGGGGGAAATGTAGGAGAGCTGGGCCTTCCCACTACGCTACTCGAGCGTGTATGGTAGGTGTCCTTAGACACCGCGGCCGTACCAATTTTCTTCCCACCACGCTACAAGAGCGTGTATGGGGCCTTTAGCAGTACCCGTACGAGAACATCAGTGACTTCCCCACCACGCTACAAGAGCATGTATAGGGCTCACCCACCTCGCCGTATGCTTCGCACCAGGCTCCCTCCTATCGTGCTATAAGAGCGTGCATAGGTGGTTCCCCAGTCCGCTGCAATCGTCGAGAATGAGATTTTGGAACATCATACCTTTGCGTAGTAGTCGTTGGCGCCGATGTCGAGATCGAGGACCATCCCCACCATGCTACAAGAGCGTGTATAGGGCTTACCCGCCTCGCCGCACATGTCGCACCGGATTCCCTCCCACCATGCTACAAGAGCACATATAGGGGGTCCACCGGCGCGTCAAGCGCGTCGAGGACAGGATTTAAGTTAGAAATGTATACCTTGGGGCTCAGTGGACTGGCGGTGGAAGGCATGGAAACCGAGGTAGGAGGAGCATTTCTATCTTTTTTTATTAATTATTATCAACTATAATTAATTATAACTAACCATAATTAATTATAATTAATTAATATTAATTATTCATATTTAAAAATAATAATCAATCATAATTAATTAAAATTAACTTTAATTAAAATTAATCATAATTGATTAAAACTAATCATATTAATTACTTAAAATTAATTATGATTAATTATAATAATTATAATTAATTAAATAACTATAGTTAATTAAAATTAAATATAACTTATTAAAATTATTTTTAAATAAAACTAATTAAAATTAATTATTGTTAATTAATTAAGATTTATTATAATTAATTAGAATAATAATAATTATTATTATTTTTTAATCATTATAATTAATCAAAATTAATTATAATTAACTAAGATTAATTATAATTAATCTCTGTTTTGGCTGGCTTATGGGTTCTGGCCAAAGAAGCATACGAAAGGTTGAAAGTTACCTGCACAGCAAGCTCCCTGGCTTGCTTCCGATTAGAATGTTGTAACTTCCGATCCTAACAGATAGGGAATGCCGTCGAATGAGCCAAATCGAACAGCACAAAGACGGCGAGCTCCCGTTGTGCTTCCGATCAAAGTTTCGTAACTTCCGATCCAACAGGGAAAGGAAAGTCGTCGAAGGAGCAGCCGAACGTCCTCGAAGGAGCCGAAGAAGCGTTATATATATATATAGGTTAATTCAGCAGGTCAACATCCCAATTTTGATGCTGCATATTGCAAGGACTTTATTCTATAAAAAAAAAAAAACACGATCATAACAGAAGAGTTATGGAATTTATATTATAACCATAAAAAATAAATAAAATAGTAAAAATACATGAAATAACAATGTATTCAATAATCAAGATTAAGTACTTTGGAAAAGAAAAGCAAAATCAAGATGAAGCTTCCAGCTCATTCAAACCAAAACATAATTCATTAAACATGATACGGAAATATCACATATGTAATAAAGAATACAAATTTCTTAATTTCTTAATTCAGCCAACAAAAAGCCAAACATAGAAGAAATTTATAACCTCATATAAAGGAAAGGTAGTGAGGGCAAGAAAAGGAGCATAGTAAGCAAACCTGTTGTCCATTAGAATTGAAAGAATGGTTAAGTTGGAGCAAGTGAGAAAAGGATAGAATAGATTTCCCAGATTGAGGCAGCAAATCTGCATTCATTTCAGCCCAGTTTGGTCTTTGCTGCCAAGTACTTGAAAACTGAAAACGATAAAATATTAGACCACTAAGTTGAAACACCAACAAAAAGATATTGGAGAAAATAAGAGCCAATTGCATCTCAAATGCCAGTAAACCATTCAACAATCATTCAAGAAGAACAATCATGAGACTTACAATAGAAGACGAATTCCGTTGAAGCACTGGTCTAGATGGACGAACAAATCCACTTGGCTGACATCCCGATCTCAACCCAAATGATTTATACATGAGATATTGTTGAGAAGGAAAACATTTCATAACCTTAGAAGGGCTATAGTAAACTTGAGGATAGCTAGTAGGGACAACATCAGCATCTAAGCCTGTCACTCCAGCCATTCGCTGAGAATATTGACGCAACAATTGTGCTTGTCTTTCCTCTTTCCTTTGGGCAATTGCAACATAAAGAGGTTTACCATAAAACAAGTGTCCTAAATGAATCCAAAATAGTTTTTCATTATTTTTCAAAATTATAAAAAATAATAAAAACAACTTCAAAATAACATTGCATCACCATGAAGAGTGTTCAAAGCTTTGGAAGCTTCCTCCTGAGTGCTGAAACAAACAAATCCAAAACCTTTACTGTTTCCTTTATCATCGTGCATAACTTTAGCTGAAGTAATAGTACCGAATTGACTGAAATGCTCCCACAATATACTATCGTCTATATTATCAGCAATGTTCTTAACATATAGATTTGAAGCCTGAAGAAGGATTATATAGAAGGTAAATAAAAACATAAGAGGGGTTAAAATATAAGACACTAATAGCTAAATAAAAGTGGATTACCGAATTTTTTTTAATTTGTTCATTGCGTTTGTCCTGAAACGTATGACACAGAAATGTTTTCCGCTCTGCCTTTTTTTGAGCCCTTGCAACATACAGCTTCTTGGATCCTTATAACAGCAACATTCCAGATAATAAAGTTTGTAATATTTGTTCATGCTATATGACAACTCATTGTACCTGATAATTAGTAGTTGTTAAAATATTAGGAATTAAAAAAATTACCTAGTTGAAGTCCATTCATTGCTTCCACCGCCTTTTTGGCACTCTCAGGATTTGCAAAGTTGACAAACCCAAAACCTTTTGGGTTTCCTTCTTCATCCTTTTCAATTGCCACATTAAAAACCTTTCCAAACTCAGAAAACTTCAGTTCAATAAGTTCTTTTGTCATGACTTTGTCCAGATTCTTCATGTACAAGTTAGTGAACTTCAGTTCCGGATTTGGTAATTTTCTATCATTCTTTTTGATGAATTTACCCACATAGCTGCATTATTATCAACAAACAGTAAATAGAAGAGAGCATTTACTTTGATCATCAAACATATAGCAAGCATACAGGTACTATGATAAAGAGTTCATAAGCAATGAGAAAAAGAAACTGGTTTGATTTACCTGATGATAAGTGGAGCAACAAAACATTAAAGCTAGACTTAAAAATTCAAAAAACCAAACAAATAAAAAAAAGGAACAAATACGAAAAGGCAGGAGTAAAAGAGTAACATACATTTTCTTTCCATCAACTATTATACCATTAAGATTTTCAATGGCCATATTTGCAGAAACTTGAGAATCAAACTGGACAAATCCAAATCCTTTGCTCTTTCCATCTTCAGTAGCCACTTTACAGGACGAGATAGTCCCAAATTTCAAAAACATCTCCTTAAGCTTGACAGAGTCAATTGATCTACTTAGGTTCTGAATATGTGTCACCCAACCCAAATCAGATATCACAGCACATTTAGAACAATTAGACAAAAAATACATGAACAATATCATAAGTTATAATTTTTCATAGCATACCTTCACAAATACATTTCCAATCCCACTGTTTCTTAAATCTGGATCATGATGTGACTTCATAACCCTAATTGGCTTTCCACACAACACAGTATGGTTCAATTTCTCAATAGCATTTATTGCTGCTCAAAATAACAAAAGAAACAAATGAAGAAATCAAAGAAAATAAAGCAAGAATGATAATTAGAAAGCTGGGAAATCAGACGAGTATGAAAACTGACAGATATATAGATGAAGTGTATCAGATCAGAATTCCTCAGCTTTTATTCTATACATTTTGTGTATGAACTATCTCATAAATTAAAACAAAGGAAAATGTAAATGAGTTTGAAAAGAGCGAAGCAAATACTTCAAGAAAGCTGCACAATTCATTAGAATTTGCAAAGAAAGGCATATGTTCTCAACGAAATAGCGCAATGACGCGCTGAACAGAACTAGTTAATACAAAGATAAAGACAAATAACATGGCCTACAATAATTATGCATTTAAGAATAAAACATTCAAAAGACCCTCAACCCAAGAATTAAGAAAAGAAAACATCTTAAAAGAAAATGCCAAATAAACACCTAGACCCAATCGATATCTAAAACAGATTCCAATTAATTCAATCAGATGAAACGCACAGACTAAGCTTTATATAAAATAAAGGAAAAGAAAATAACAACCCGGATAGATCAATGCCACAAGAAGCAAAGCAGGATGAAAACCCAATCTTCTCATAACCCAACCAAAGATACAGCGCAGAACAGGTTCCGAATTAACTCCAGCTATAATGCCCCATACGAACCACAAATATTGGCCAGTCAAAAACCGATGAAAACCAGCCAAAAAATAAAATGACGAATCATTATCGGTATGGGAGCAAAGTTTACCATCCTGACAGGAGATGTAATTGACGTAACCGTATCCCCGAGAGCAGCCGGTGTGAAAATCTCGGCAAACTCGAACGGAATCAACTTCCCCGATGGTAGAGAAGAGCTCCATGAGGTTCTCATTGGTAACGTCAGGGTGCAGGTCCCCTACGTAAACTGGCACCGTCACCCTCGCGAAATCCGACGCCGACTTAGTCCCGTTCGTTAACATTGCCATTCCTAAGATTAAGGTTTCGATATCGCGAGATTTAAAAGAGAGAAACAAGGATGGAGAGACTTGAGAAGGTAGAAGGATTAGAGGAAAGGATGAGGGGTTGATTGCATGAGCTTTCGTGTTTGCAAAGTGAGAGAGTTGATGTTAGCCTAGCCTCTTTCCCTCCCGTAATATATATCTGCTAGAATATTATAATAATCTGCTATTATTATTATTATTATTATTATGGCAGGGAAAACATATCGGGGTCGGTGGACTTCGTCCTCCGCCCACCTCACCGGAATTTTCTCTCTCCCCTTGCTTGATTGGTTTTTATATTTCGGTATTTTCCTACTGCCTGATATCGTTAAATTATTACGTATCCAAAAAATATGCAATATTTTTTGTACGTAATCAGCCAAAATGAACTTTAAAATTATTTGATTTATATTGATATTTAAATCATAAATATAATTTTATATTATATTACTATTAATAAAAATTAATTTATTTTCAAGTTCGTCATAATATATTTTGCCTTATTATATTGATAAAATATTTTTCACGCATATCTTAAAATAAATAATTAATAGTAAATATATTATATTTAAACTAAATTTGTACAATTTTGAATGAGAACGATTTACACTACAAACAAGCTCGATTGACCCCCGCCAACTATCGCCCACCACCACCACTAGCCGCTTTCACCTTCCTCTGACCAACGTTGCCACCATGCACCTGGCCCCACCATTACTGTCAGCTACAACCACTTGTCATCAACCACTACCACTGTTGCTATCCAAACTCTAATTGAAAGAATTATTTATTTTATTTTTTTAATTATAACAATAAGAATTATCTAATTTCTTTCAATATAGAAATACTGGTGAAAATAACTTCTATTGATCAAAACATCAATATATATATATATATATATATATATATATATATATAGCTCCAAAAATGTATACAATACTCACTGAGTCATATAAATACAATAATAAATTTTCTCACTTGTGAGTATAAAAGAAAAACTAAAATACAAAAGAAACAAAATAATAATAAAACCCGGTGAATCATTTAATTGATTAGTCTCACACTCCTGATCTTCTTTCTATATTTGAAATCATTTAAATCACATAAAATTAGATTAAAAAAAAAAGCTCAGCAAGTCACTAGAATCCTATAACTAAACTCAAAACACAATAAATAATTATTATGCTTGTAATCATTCACTTCATAATAGTAATTAACAGTCAATATAATCATAAATATGTACATAAATTATAAAATGCATACTATATGATAAAATCTATGAACCAGTAAACCAATACCTTATGAAGGCCAATAAATTAGTGCATTGCAAAAATATTAAAATATGTAAACCAATAAACCCAGTATGGATGTCATTCATGTGTCGTAGTAGTGATATTCAATCAATAAGAAACTTATATAAATCACTAAAACTGAAGCATCTATGAAAACTATTATAAATCATAACAATATATTACTATTAAATTAGTTTACACATAATGTTTAACCATTATATATTAATATCAAATTAGTATCTTTTATAATATGGTTAGTAATAAAAATCACATGCATAATAATAGTTGTTGCAACTCAAAAATTCTGCTTGAGAATGTGTTTTTTTTATGAAAGAAAAGTACTAGTGTTTTATTATTGTATCATTTCTCCTAGCATATACTGGACATTTTCTATTTGTTGTTTATGTGTACTAATATTTCAGAAAAATTATACTCTAGACTACTGAAGACTTCAAGACATGATAGATTAGGATTTCATGTAATTAAAAAAATAAATTTTTTATTTGCTTGAGTTTGAGATAGTATGATTATAATTAGGCAACCTTACACACACACATAGGGGGAGTGAGTCAAATCTTAAAATTTTAAGACTAATCATATCGTAAGATTTCCAATCGTACTAGACAATTTGTCATGTTCTTTCCTCCAAAACAAAGTTAATCAAATCAAGTTTTATATTTTTTGAACTATTCATACTATACGAAGCTTTTTCGTACAGACGACTCATAGAGTACAAAATGGGTGCGTACCAGTTCATCCCAGACAAACTCATTTATTCTTGTACTATTCATATTATACAATATAAGTTCATACAGATGACTGACAGAGTATGAAATGGGTTCATCCACATTCGTACCAAATAAAGTATGATTTTTGTTAATTGTTCATACTATATGATATTTATGTGTATTGTATGATGTTATTTCAAACATACTGTTGATAGAGTATGAAATAAGGTTCGTATAGGATAACTCTAAAGGAATAAGTTCAGTTTTGAACTGTTCGTATAATATGATGTCAGTACATACAGACGACAAATAGAGTATAAAATAAGATTCATACAAGATTGTACATGGATTTTTGAACAGCTTATACAGACGATCCTCAATCATACTATATGATCTTAACTCAGTTGACTTATAATTTTTGTTTTCTGGATGGTTTTTCTTATGTTTTATATATAAGAGTCCTAAAAATTGACACTCAATATCTTTGCTGTGATTTTCTCTTAAGAGTGGCCATTAAGTGTCACTACAGGAAAATCGCCAAACACCGGCGGATCTTTCCGGCGGTTAGGAAGGAAAAACCAGCGATTTTTCGGCAGTTTTAAACCGTCGGAATAATTGGAGTAGGAAACTTTTACCGGCAGCTTATTACTGGCGGTTTAGTTAGGCGGCAGTTTTTCGGCGGCGTATGCCGCCGGTGACTACCGGATTTGTAACCGGCGGTTCTTCGGCCGTTAAGCCGCCGGTTATATTACCGACGGCTAACCGATGGTCACTGTACCGACGGTATGCCGGCGGTTAAAGAGGCCGTCGTGTGTTCGCTTAACCGCCAGTTATTTTACCGACGGCGCCCGGATGTCAAGGCCGACGGTAATACCGTCGGCATACACTGCCGGCTTTTTACCGGATAACCGCCGGTATTGTACCGACGATTTAAGGGAATTACCGGCGGCGTAGCTTAAGCCGTCCGGTATCGTAGTTACCGGCGGCCAAACCGCCGGTTGGCCGCCGAAAACCTGTAGCACCTGAAAAAAAATTGACAACATTCCCTCTATTTGAGGGAGGTTCACCCTAAATTCTAAACCTGCATAAATAGCAATAGATAATAAAATATTTTGGGCAATACGATGCTATATTCATCACAATTATATACATAACAACAAATTAAGTAAACAAGTTTACAATCAAACATTAAGAAGTTCTAAATAAGTTCATCAAACATAAAACAAGTTCACCAAGTTCTAAATTCAATAAGGTTACAATCACAAGTTCTAAATACAATCATCTAACACAAAAAAGATCTAATCCTCAGCTGTATCCTCACTGTCTGGAGATGGCTGCTCCTCTTGCTCCTTCTTCCTTTGATTTTTAACTCTATATGATTGTAGCTCTGCTTACATTTTATTTTGAACTTTTCTCATTTCTTCAATCTCTCTAGATTGAACCCTTCTCATCTCTTCAATCTACCTAGTCAGCGCTGCAACCCTCTCGCTTACAAATTCTTCAGCTCCACTTGGATCATGAAATGCGGAGGTGTATAAACGGCCCTCAATAGCATAAGCCTGTGAACCCATGCCATATACCCTCCCCCTCTGTCTTCCATCAACAACTTCTAACCATGTTTGATACTCAGAAATGTGGGCCGATCCAGAAGATGATCCCTCGCCAGTGGACTGCCGACTTTCTCTAGCTCGCACAAAATCATCCTGCGAGTTACAATTAGTTTTATTAAAATAAATTTTTATTCTAAAACTCCAAAAAATTTTACTCACATGAGCCTTTTTAGACTTCTCATCAACCCACTGATGGTCAGCTTGATGTTGATGAGTTCTTGTATGCAACTCCAATGGTGTTAGCTCCCAACCAAGGTACTCTTTCTAAAAATTTAAGAAATAGTTATAATAACATAAATATATGTAATAAACTAATTCAAAACACTTATTAGTCACCGCCTATGTTCCGTATGAGGTACAGATCCACCAGTATGAAGAGAGCTTCCTAAATCACCACAGTCAAAGGCTTTATTCTGTTTATTCCGCTCTCTCATTTTTATAAACTTAAGGGTCACCCAAGCACTACTCAAATCAGCCCAAACGCCCTCTCAATCCAATTAGGATGCTGACCGGACTTTCTAATGTCTGTGAACATGTCCCTGAGACGAGTCGCTCCTCTCCTCTCAAAATTTATTCTGATCCTCGTGCTGTACTCAGAAAACCACCTAAATTCTTTCTGTAAAAATATATGCAATATCAAAAAGATTAGTATAAATTAAATCACATATTTAAAATCATAATAAAAAACCATACCTGAAATTCTCCAAACCACATATTTCTAACCGGCTTTGGGATCTTCTTCCAGGATAAGTAAGGAGCATCATATTTATTCTTTATAATATCCTGGATCATATGTATAGGTGGCCTTAAAGGATTGAAGCTGCAGGTTAATTTTTTGGTCAATAACATGTAATATATCAAAATATAAACAACTTAATTAATAACATAAACTGACTTAATTATTGCTCTCAGACTCAATGTATTGACGCTTATCTGTTGCAGCTACATGATCGCTAGCGCCAACCTCTTATGGTCTAGATGGTCCACCCTGTTCATGCTGTACCTGATAGGGGTAGTAATATGGGTAAGGGTAAGGAGGGTGGGGACAGTGGAAGACAAGCTGCCTTATTGGATGGTGGGAGTAATATGATAGAATGGAGAAGCTGTATCTGATCTGGAGAGGGAAGTGAGGACTCATCGAGGGAGGAGGGGTAGTGGCCAGGGAAGTATGGAGGTACAATAGGGGGTGGATCAAAATGTCCCTGACCCTGCTCACTCGGGGACTGCTGCTGGCCCCTAGGTGGTGGTGGTGGTGTAAGTACATCAGCAGGTGAAACTGAAAGGTCCCTCACCTTCATCAGGCTGTGTAGCATCTACTAACAGTAAACTTCTTCCGCCGGAACTTTGAGGTAAATGATTTACGAGGAGGATCATCACTTGAAGCCATCTACATTAAAAGAAATAATTAGTAAAGCATTGTAATATATAAAA